GTATTTCGTTGCGACTTAGTGGCAACCTGGGGCCGGTTGTATGAAATCCAGGTACAGCAATCCAGCTATTCACAGGATAGTGATTTTTTCAACCGTTCTAAAAATGCTCGAAAAGCGATAACATTTCTTCTTTAGAACCGACAATGATTAGAGAGATCCTCGATTTAGGAATACTAAGATTGAATCAAAGTCACAGCAAACAACGGGCGATTTTATAGCGATTGAAAAAACTACTATCCGGTGGATAGCGCTACCCGGCTTTCATACAACCGGCTTAAAATAACTGAGGAAAATTGTGGCCACTGTAATATCATCGGCAATTGTAGCGTACTGTATGTACGCCGGGTCAGTATACGATATATACTGAAGTTTTATCAAGCTGACTGCAAGTAATAAGTGATTAATATTTTAGACTATATCTATAAGTAATTTTACCGGCAACTTTTGTTGCGATTTTAGATACAATTTTTTTTCTTTTGATAGATGTGATCGAATGGGTAACTTAGATATTGTAAAAGAACCCCTTAAATATCATATACTATGAGCATTTCATAACTGTTGACTCGTTTGCGTCTGTCGAAACTGGAAAGTCGGAGAACAAAAATTGCGAAGCGCCCTTAAGTGAGTTAGCGCAGGAGACTATGCATAGTTATGACCATGTGTATAGTTAGTTGTGGTCAATATGCTGTAGTACACTTCACAATCTCAGTCAGAGTCAAAATTTCTATAATAAATATAATGATGATTTTTTATTTTCAAAAATACTAAATGCATTTTAGATGGGCTTCGCCTTGTTCTTCAATATCATCGCAGTGATTGTTTCTCTGGGCGCTTCAGCGGCATTGACCATTTTAACCATTCTCTTAAATGAAGTCAAGGATGGAAATATGCTCTGCACGTACCACGGAGATACCTGCACCTGTTTATATCGCAGCGGATCTGGTGAAGTAGACTCCGTATCGTGTGAGTTTTAAATAATACAATCTTGGTCAGAAAGCTGTAAAACGATTGTTAAAAAATCATATGTTAGTGTTCGTCGTCTCATAAATTTTGATGTCAAGAAGAAAAAAAATTAAGAGAAAATTCTAGAGAGAAAAATATGTGAATTATCATATTATTGTGGATTCTACTGTGTCTCAATTGAAATCCTTTCACCCTTTTACGACACCACATTTGCTTTTAAAAGTTTCACTTTGACTAGCCGCGTGCAAAACACCCTTATTCCACTCATGAGTCAAGAGGATTTTTTTTATTTTGAGCAATAAACGTGAAAACAAGCTGTAACACTAAAACGAGGCTCCCAGACTATCTAATTTAAAGTGGTTCTAAATCTAAAACGATAGCGTACGCTGTGACTTAATTATCGTAATTAGGTGTAATTATCGAAAGGGTCTATTGTCATTACCAGAAATTTGCGACATGATAATTTGCATGTATACTAATTTGCATTTAACTTTCAGCATAATGGCCTTCAACTTTCACTATAAAATACATATAGTAAATATACAAAACCTAAAAATGCCGTTGACCTAGATCTTGCCCACTGTTTGCCGACCTCTGGATCAATAGAACAGCCGTTTCCCAACGTTTTAATGATCGAATTACTTTCCTTAGGTATTTCTACGTTCGGCCAAATGATTGTGAACAAATGTGTATATAGCCTTCGTATTGTTCAAGTTCCAGACAAGACTGATAATATTTTTTAAAGTGATTGCAGTAAAAATCCGAGCCGTTTAAACAATTTTTTTGGGTACATTATACGTCAATTCATCAACTACCTGAATCGAAATATTCGAATCAATGTGAGCGATTTTATAAGTTCGTGGACAGCACACGGACAAAACTTTGAGCAATATATTTTTAAATTTGGCCGAATGCAGAAATGCCCAAGCTAAAAAATCCTGTCACCAAAACGTTTCTAAACAGCTGCTCTACCGATCTAGAGGTCGGCAAACAGTGGGCAAGGGCTATAGGACAACGGCATTTTTAGGTTTTGTATATTTACTATATGTATTTTATAGTAAAAGTTGAAGGCCATTATACTGAAAGTTAAATGCAAATTAGTATACATGCAAATTATCATGTCGCAAATTTCTGGTAATGTTGATTTTAGTAATTTTTTTCTAAATAGGTTTTTCTTTACTTTCTACAGGGAACATGCACTGCGATGATTTCGACACAATTCATATCTTAATCATCGTTTGCCTTGTCGCTTTTATCATTCTGACTATCACCACCTTCACCGCGTCGATCTTTGGTTGCCTGGGTACCTGCTGTGCTCCTGCGGTGAGTATGAGAGCAGCTTGGTCTTCATGCAGGGGTACTTGTCAGTAGCGTTTCACTTGCCCCCAGGTCGCCTCAAAGGTTGATGCGTAATGCGTTTTTAAACCATTTTCTCGTTATTCAAGCACGTCACGGACCGACTCTGTGAACACGTGCATGGCCCCAAGAAAAAGCTCTTCTGTAATCACTGAAATCTCAATATCTTGTCCTACGCTTTGCCATATTCAGTAGCGGTGCTCTCACCAAAACTAGATTTTATACTTCTTCCACGAGCACGGAAAAGAGTAGGCTCAATTCCTGCTGGAAGACTCAAAGAGACACGGTTTGGTCTTCGTTTCTTACTTCTTAGCCAACCATGTTCATAATTATAATACCTTCGCAGGATCCAATTGTTGTGGTCACCGCCGGCGTTCAACCCCCCGGGGGTACAGTTGTTGTTGCCAGCAATCAATCGTCGTCTTTCCAACATGGTTACCCTGGAGGAATGCCGCCTGCTTATGGCCACGGCCAACCCCAAGAGTACGGCGACAAGAAAGGCCTTGTTAATAACATGGTTATTTGAATCTGTTCCTATTATCTTGATTTTCACGCGATTTCATGCGATTGCTTGTTCATCACAATCACATGCATAGGCGTTTATAGCTGCCCTATATATTCCATTCGTTTCTTTCTGCGTGTTCAAGCATATATTTTGTATCCCACAATGTAACCGTTACTAAATAAAACACTCAGATAATGATTTGGCAATCTTTCTGTTTTTATTCCTGATCGAAAAGCCGTTGTGATAACTTCTTTATAGTATGTATCTACCTCTTTTATAACGAAGTAATAATCAATAGAGTTCGATAATCGTACTAAACTGTTATAGTTTTATCCGTTTAATGGGAAACGGCGGTCAATTTTTTTTCTTCTTATTAGAGGAGACGACTTAGCGCTAATTTAGGAATCCAATATGGAGTCGCCTTTAAGAAAGGAGAGGGGAATCATTAAAATTTGCTTTCTTTTTAACCCCAAATTAAGAAATATTGTTTTTCCATGTTCTAAACATCAATTTTATCGATCTTTAACAACTGAAAATTTAAGTAAGTCGAGATCCACAAGTATGTTCCCGAGAAAGAATATTTTGTGATGGTCATCCTATGGGAAAGTGTACTTATTTCTAGTACATTTTTGAGCTTGTGGCATATGCTTATTCTTTGATGCGTGCAGCTATATAACTTATATTTCTTCTGTGTGTTATCTATTTTTGTATATGTAAATATGTTATCGGAGGAATGCCTCGCATGGGATCTCGTGTCCCGTTTGCATTTTCTCCGTTTGAACTGTTCAATAAATTTGATATATACACATTAATGATATTAGGTACCTTACAGTTCACGTTTCTGCTCGTTGCGCGCGCGGGTATCGGCAAATGTGCATGTCATATCTCGCCCGTAAATGCTCTAGCTTTATTAACATCGTCATCGCATTTTAGAATCGTGAAAAGACATGTAAATGTGTTACCTAACTCGATGAAGCTCATCGTTTTACGCTCATGGGTTTTTTATACTATTATCTATATAATTATTACATTGGTTGTAAAAACAATCTCCATATTGTATTTCTCGAATTGAGCGACACTAATCTAAATAATGAACTGAAAACTGAACCGTATGATCCAACACACTTCACCGCTTACATATCTGGCTATGTGTGGTGTATAACATCATCATCGTCGTTAAATACTGTCAAGCGTTAAAATATGCTAGTTTGATTTCGTTGAACAGCACGCTTCAAAGCAGGAAGTCAGATTTATCACAACTAGTTTTTTGCACAAAGTTTCAGCGGTATTTTTCAACATGGTAATGTCAAGAAGTACCGCTGTTAGCTCGATAGTCATTGGTTGTATTATGTGGTGGGTTTTGCCATCATCACTGTGATCTGTGGCGCAATCTCAGCCAGCAAGTTGTCAGGCGAAATAGCTGCCACGGACGGACTGTGGTCACTTTAGTCTTTATGTAAGTATTTGACAACTAAACGTCCTTAGAAAATTGTCATATTGTGCTCATGGAACCCTGACGAACCTGTGTTTAGCTGGTGACAGGACAATATACTGTATAGTCGATCAATCTATAAACCGTCTAAACACAGAAGAAAACTTCTCAAAGTTTAAACCCGAAGGCCATCGTCATTAAAATTAGACTATATAGCTACGTGTACACAATTCAAGTGTTCTCATGTTCGCTTTCGTCAAAACGGTCTCGAACAATGTCAGTTTATAATAGAAGTTGAATCTATAATTTAGCATATTGAGCATATTTTTCCATGAGTCATGTGAAAAGTAAAAATGATTTTCCCTTAGTGTGAGCGGTTTAGCGCATTAATCTCCCAACGATTGTCCAAAGATTTTATAAGTATATAGGTTGCGGTCACACTAGCGCTTCTGCTTGCGGATTAGCAAAGGATTAGCGTGCTTGCTTCTGACGTCATTCCAGCATCGAGAAGTGGGTTTTTTATACTATTAACTATTACATTCATATTTTATAACCTGTTAGTTTTTGATCAGGCTGTATCTGTAGATTATGTAGTTGGTTGATAAAGTAAAAACAATCGCTATATTGTCTTTCTCGAATTGAGCGACAGTGATCTGAATAATGAACTGAAAACTGAACCGTGTGAGCCCACACACCTCACCGCTAACATTTCTGGCCAAGTGTGGTGTATGACATCATCACCAATACTGTCAAGCGTTAAAAAATGCTAGTCTGAATTCGTTGAACAGCACGCTTCGAAGCAAGAAATCAGATTTATCACACCTAGTTTTTTGCACAAAGTTTCAGCAGTATTTTTCAAAATGGTAATGTCAAGATGTACCGCTGTTGGCTCGATAGTCACTGGTTGTATTATGCTGGGTTTTGCTCTCATCACTGTGATCTGTGGTGCAGTCTCAGCGAGCAAGTTGTCAGGCGAAAAAGCTGCCACGGCTGGTTTGTGGTCGCTTTATGTAAGTATTTGACTTTATGTAAGTATTAATCACGACTTTGCTTAAATTCCGTCGCGCCTACAGGCAGAATTTGCAAATTTTGTTCACAAAATCAGCGCAAGGTTCCTTCTAGGGTAAAAATATGGGCGAGAAATAATCAGATTGCGCTCTCGGAATCGTCTTAAATATGACGATCACCCTTCGTTTAGCTGGTGAAAGGCAATACAGCTAATTCAATCAGGCTTGTGATCGGTTGTCCTTTCGAAACCTTAAACTTTGAGCGCACCTTTTAATCCCTTAAAATCAGAAAATTGCTTTTGCAGTATGTTTTCCATCGTGAGGCTTCTATATGTCATGGATATTCTTGTTAAAGCCAAATTTCCAAGTGTAACAAGCCTAAATTAACAAAAAACCATGATCCCTTGAGCACTCAGAGTTTAACGTGTATGGTTTTGGAAGCACAACGTTAATTGAATCAGCTGTATAATATATTATCGATATATCTATAAACTATCTAAACCCGGAAGAAGACGTGTGAACGTTTAAACCCAAAGGCCATCATCATGAAAATAAGACTACATGCCAAAACGGTTTCGAAGTTGAAGCTAAATATTTAACATATTGAGCATATTCTCCCATACATCGTGTGGAGAGGGCATCAAAATCGATAAACTAAATGATTTGGCCGTATAAAGTGTGCGGTTATAACACACTAATTTTCCCGACCACGGTTCAGAGATTTTCAAGTAGCTACAGTTGATGCAATAATAATGAAATGATTACTCCGTTGAATTTCAAGTATTGTCGCGCTGAAATATTTGTATGACAAATATACGCCACAACACACACGAGAATAATGAGAATTTTTATCAGAAGCAGTTCTAAACGACCTTAAAACGTAGTTGCATGTCAGGCAGCCTTTTTATTTCAGCATTTTTGTGGATTGTTTTGATGTGTTGTCTGCACAATAGCATCATAATTGTATAGTGTAATAGATAAGAAATTTATCACCTTCTATAGTGCTTCATATAACGAGATTTTGAGTTCTTAATATACTATTCTATAGCGGTAGTTTCAGGAACTTCATGAACATTCTTTGTAACAAACGTGCAAGCAATTTTAGTTAGAGCTGATAAAACCACGAACTTTATTCACGACACGGTCGGCGACTTTTACTCAATAACAATTGCTACCCCGTTGTTGCTTGCTTATAAGTAATTAGAATTCAACATCTTCATGACTAGCTGAGTGACTGATGTTTCAAAAAAATTATATTGAAAGGGCAGCGTGACAGCTCGTTTTAATAACATTGCATCACTGAATGTGATACAACGACTAAGTGGATAAAAACTCTTCTGGACGTTTCGATAAGCATAATCATAATTAAGCATCAGAGCTATGTATTCTTTGTATAATTGCTTGGAAAACCGATTCGTTAAATAGGCGAACTTCCCAGATAGCTTCGCATCAAATGTAGGATAACGACTGTCTAAAATAGGGCGCGGACAAAAACACTTCTCAAGTTTCCTATAAGACACAGTATAACCTACTACGGAAGAAAAATGAGGAAAAAAACTCGAGAAAAATGTCGCCTATTGGAAAACCGCATAAATGGTGAGTTTCTGTAGATAGTCCTGTAGTGTACATCTGAATGAAGACTTCACAGAAAGTCATTCGTTTGCGGTCTTTCTAGGGATGAATTATTCATGCCGGCACTATTGAAGAATATCCATGCTTTAATGGCAACGAACAACTCTCATCAACTATAGCCGGATAAGAAAAAACCTCCTTAGAAACTGATTACATTCCAGATTCCACCATGCATATAAAGGCGTCCTAAATTTGCGGAACATTACCAGCATGTTGACAAATAGCTGAAAAATTTCTTGCGTTCAAATTATCACGCAAATTTAGGCTGCCTATGTTTCCACCGACGATAATAATGTGGCACTCGATATAAAATATTCTCGTTTTAGTACGCTGTGCCAGGAATACTCACTATTGCCGCTGGAGCCACCAAAAAGAGCATTGTGGTAAGAGGGAAGCTTTATTCCTTTTGGTTTAGACACAGGATAACATTTGATCAGTAACATGCGTGTAGCTAAACGCCTTTAAGTATATAGGTCCACCTCTTACGAACCGTAATTAGGGACCTTAAGCATGTAGGACGGCAACACGACGACGACGCGGCTGAAATTCTCTTTTAAATAAATGCTATGGCAAAGTTGTTGTTGTATATTATTAATTGTATCGATTTAGTAAGTATAAAGCGTTAAGAACATTGTGTTTATGTTTAAAGACAATTCTAACGAGCCTCATTCGAGGTATAGGGCTCGCTGGGTCCTGAAATGCACCCGTTTAGGCAAGACGTAAAAAACCACGTTTTCCGGTTGTAAACAGAACGAAGACGACTTCTAAAACCCATCATGGTCTTTAATTATTCATTTCTTTTCAATGATCTATTGTATTGATAGCCGTCGTCGTCGCGTTCGCGTCCTACTTGCTTAAGGTCGCTATTGTGGCCAACATTGCGGACAAGCATCAGCTTATTAGCCAAAAGAAAATTCATGCATTGACGTGCCAATATATTTAGCTTAATTAGTTCAGAATTTGTCACTTAGAGAGTACGACCTCAAAAATTGAAATCCTAATGAAATATTATTGGTCGTTTCCTGAAAAGATGGCGTGCCCCAAACGTATAGTAAAATCGCAGTTTGATCATTATTAACAGTTATTCGCCGAAGGTGTACCTCATCTAAATAATTAATGCAAAATAAAGATAAGCAATGTTCTTTAGCGCAGATTTTTAATTTTAACTCCATGTACTGGTTCTACGCCTTATTTTCTCTGAAAAAATTTGCTCAGGTGATCATCGTTAACAATCCGTGTCGATTGACTAATCAGAGTCCGAAATTTTCAAAGAATTTTCAACCTCAGTATATAATTATATACCAATTATTATATCAGAGACTAACGTGGTGATTAGAAGTTATATCAGCGACTGCAGGATAAGCGACAGCAGTATAGTTTATAAATTCCGAATATTCCCGATTGAAATTATATTGACAAAGAAATGGATTTCTTATTTTTTTATTTCAGATGGGATTCGCCTTGTTCTTCAATATCATCGCAGTGATAGTTTCCATAGGCGGTTCGATAGCATTGATCATTTTTACAATTCTGTTAAACGAAGTCGTAGAGGACGAATGCACATATTTTGAGGATACATGCACTTGTAGTTATGGTGGTGAATCTGGTGAGTTTAGTACAGAACGTGTGAAATAAAAATGTGTGTTATAAAATCATACAATCAAATGCATCTATATCGTGCCTGTTTTAAAACTCCCAGAAAACAATATTGAAGGCTATATAGGACAAATTTCATGGCGAAAAAAGTCGACGGGACTGTCCCAATTGTTGATGATTTCAGAATCAAAACATTATTTTATCTTAGCATTTTTTATAGTTTCTCCTTGCTTTCTACAGGGAACATTAATTGCGATGATCTTGACACTCTTCGCAATATTATCATCGTCTGTCTTGTATTTTTCATCATTCTGACTGTCACCACCTTCACTGCATCAATCCTTGGTTGCCTGGGTACCTGCTGTGCTCCTGTTGTGAGTATCGAAGCCGTTAGGCTTTCTATTTTATAAGGCGAACGTTAAACACACATTGCCGATCTGAATTTCTTGCTTTTCTAGATACATCAGCACTAGCCTTTGCTTTCTCATATCACAGCTCAATATCACGTTTCATATATAAAGCGTTTATGAATCAACGAAATTGTTACACGCTCCAAGATAAAGAGCGTAGTTAATTAGAACACAAATTAAGTCCGTCAACCCAATCTTAAGGGGTCTCTATTCTCGCCGCTTTTTTAAGCGAATTAGGTTCGATTACAGCTAGAAGACGCGAGTACCTGTTGGATCTATCCAACGATCATAATCCTCCAATCTTCCAGCTAACCATGATGTGTACTATTTTTATAGGACCCAATTATTGTTGTCGCCCCAATGCAACCTACAGGAAGTGCAGTTGTTGTTGCCAGCAACCAATCATCGTCTGTACAACATGGTTACCCTGGGGGCGCGCCGCCTGCTTATGGCTACGACCAACCCCAAGAATCCGGAGACAAGAAAGTCCTCGTTGATAGCATGGTCATTTGAATATGTTTCTATTGCCCTAAATTTCACGTGATCCCATGTAATTGTTTATTCATCACATAGACAGCTTATATTTTGTATCAGGCATATATTTTGTATCCCGCAATAAAACGTTAAAATGTAACCCTATTAACAATGTAACCGTATAACAAAAGTAATCATTTTGCAATCCTTCTTTTTTGACCCAGAAACGAATGAGCATTTTAACTTCTTAATAACATATAATTATGTATACCTTCCTCATTTGAAGATGTGATAAGCTATTCCTATCAAAGGTACCCAGTACGTATGCAGTCTATATAAATACTGAATTTATAATATACGCGTACCAATTTTGTAATATTTATCTTAAAAATCATCATTAAAAAATGTTTTGATACCGTAGTCATCTTTCAAGTTTTAAATGTACTCTCTTCATGGCCCTGCAGCGCTTCAACGACCGACAGCGAACGCCGAGGTGCCTTCTTTCGGGTGATCTCGTCATGCATGGATTTTGGCCAATCGCTCAGAGGGGTTGTGGAAATAAAAATCCATTCTGCAGTATTTAACCGATTATATATTTTATTATTCTTTTTAAAACCAATCGAAATTGTGTGATTATGTTTAAAAAGGTATAAGACTATAGCTCCGGCATAAATTTGGAACCAAAATTTATGCCAGAGCTATATTCGTCGCTCATCATCCTTACCATCAACACCTTCACGGTAGTATCAATCTTTGGCTGCCTGGGCACCTGCTATATTCCTAGGGTAAGTACCAAAGGCTATTCTAGTCACTTTCTTCCCTGAGGTGAGTGAGTGAGATGAAAAGCTGCATGTGTATATGCCATAGTAATCAAACCATGATGTATATTATCATTGTAGAAACCACTTGTTGTTGTCACCGCTGGCAGTGAAATTGTTATTGCCAGCAACCCATCATCGAAAAGGAAGCTGCTGGCTTTTGGTTATGGCCGGCCCAAAAAAATCAGGGTTAATATACGGTTAGCATCAAATGCGGTATAACAACTGCCTAAAATAGACAATATGTTCTGACAAAGGTACGTTTTGAATAAAATTCACCCGGGGTTTGCTAGTATCATTCGACGTTTATTAAACGCAGTGAATTAAACGCTATTAATTAATTAATAGGTTTCCTGAGTATTACTCAAATGGCTAAATTTCCTCTCATATTTCCTCTCATAATTTTCTCATTATGTGATCCGCCCTGTAATATCCGTCCCCGAGGACGGGTGAATTCAAAATTTAAAAACTTGGGCAAAACGAATACTTGGGACCAGTGGCGTAGCCAGCCTGACGATTTTGTCCCGCTATGTAAATTTCGAGTTATTATAATTATTCATTTCTTCAAAAATTTATTGTTTTCACAGTCAATGAACATTAAAATATTAGCATAGCGGGACAAATCGGCAGGCTGGCTACGCTACTCACGTTGGTCATATTCGGCAAATTTTCTCCCGGTAAAGAGGGCTCAGTTTTCCAGCGGTCTTCGCATAAAAAATTAAAAGCTTTTCGTTTTACGCTCTGCTCTCAATTTTGTGTAAGTTGTCCGCTGACAACATGAGCCCGCACGAGTGGGAGAAACTTAGCTAAGTTGGACCAGCGTGACTGCTTGGGACATGAAAATTCTACGACTGAATAGTAAATATCATAATCTTACTTTTGTGTTAATTTCGTAAATTTTCATCGCGTTTTAGGCGAGTTATCGCGATATTTCAACAAACAAATGTCTCACTCAATCATAAAGATGCATTGTGGAAAGTATGATGCAATGCCTTATCTTTGTAGCGTTGTATCTTCGTTTCTTTTCAGCCAAAAGCGACGGTTCGCCCACCATTTTGTTTATAAAATCCTGGGGCCGGTTGTTCAAAAGCCGGTTAACGCTAACCCAGGATTAAAAATGCCTAACCCAGGGTTAAATTTTAAACCTTGGTTGATTTACGTTGCACAAAGCTCGGTTAGCGTTAACCCTGGGTTAAAATTGATAAAAAAAATTAACCCTGCTAGCTAGGTGGTTAACTTTTTAATCCTGGGTTAACTTCGATTCAAAATGGATGAATAAGGAGCTGAAACACGTAAACACGTATAATTCGTCATGAATTAAACACTTTTGAAAGGTTTTACGAATAATTTCGACAGCAAATAATTGTTTAAGTTTGACTTCGTTCGGTTTCAGCTGATGTATTGATTTATTTATCTTCGCTTCAATTCAATGCAATACACGATAAATGAATACAACCGTACAAATTGAAACATCGTAATCGAAATATTTGTTTCGGATGCTGCTTTTGATTGGCAGCAAGTGGTAAGGCTATGTTTGCTCCTGAATTTTGAATAATAAAAGAATGCCTAAAATTTTAAAATAGATTGTTTATAATTTGCTTAATTTTGTTTCACATCGACATTGTTTATCATAGAAAATGGCCTTTCATTTCGAATCTTTCCAAAATTCCATGCACGGAAATTACTGTTCAAAACAACGTCCCTTCGACCCTGCCCTCACGGCATATAATCTTTCGACTGACAATATATCCTCGTCGGGTAAAGTTTTGACGCTCGTTTATTGACCAATCGAAAACGTTCTTATATCCAATTTAGTCCTTAAAATACATTTAATCTTAGGTTAAATATTTTAAACCTGGGTTAACTAACCCTACCGCTAACCCTGCTTTGAACAACACAGTTTTAACCCAGGTTTAGCTAACCTAGGGTTAAGGATTTTAACCCAGGTTTAGCACTAACCCAGGGTTAAATTTAACCTGCTTTTGAACAACCGGCCCCTGCTCAATTTTTGTACTAAATATCATACGCCAGAAGTACATATTTTTTCTTAAATGTGGGAATTTGCACAAACACTCGGTCAGGCGGAAATCTCCTTCGGGCGTCTTTCGGGCGTCTTTCGGCTGTATGTTTTGATATGTGTATCCTAGGAAACCAGATGCCCCGGAAATCGATTTACCGGTAAAAATCATTCAGACGACGTATTTTAGCTGATTTTCAGCCAAACATGTGGCTGTTCTTCGCAATTTTTAACGATGCGGTCGCATGTAATTTTGGGATTATGTTCAATCCGGACGGGGATAGTTATGAATTGCAAAAATAAATACATCAGATGAAAGATCATACTTTAAGCTTTCAAATGAAACCTTCTGAGTATTCATAGAGTAAATACTTGCTAAGATAACCTTGTGTAAACAGTTTTGTCCGGAAAATGGTAGAGACCTCGAGTACGTAAAAGAGTCAGCATTTAAGCGTTTTCTGGGAACTGGTCAAAGCCACCTTAATGTACAGGAAGCAGAATGCGCTTTCATTTTCATTATTGCTGGCTCTGATTTTAATGTATGAGGATTTTGTTGACATCGGATAAAATGAACGGCAATGGTATGGCTCATCATATCAGTACGTTTTACGTATATCACTTGCAATATGAAATTCTATGAAGATTATTTATTTTAATAGAAAGTCTAACGTGGCCATGTGACCATGTACAGTAGGAGGCAAAAGTTTGAGTCCAGTGACTGTATTTCATTGTTTTAGCAGCATATATTAATATTCTACAGAAAACTTTACCGATAAGTGAACTAGAAAAAAGTAAATAAGTAAACAGAAAAATACATGCTTTACAACAGCTATGAGATGTTATGATATTCATTTTTACGTATTTTAATGTGCAAACATGCATTTACATGTCATTGCTTAGTTCCCTCTTTTTGCTCTTGAAATGACCTTTATTCTTGCTCGCATAGATTCCATAGGTTTTTTAATGTCACACGTTCAATACCTTGCCAGCATTCGTTGACCACTTGCCTCAAGTCAGCCTGGCTGGCGGGTCTGTGCCTCGCCCTCTTCCGGTTAAAACGGTTCTACAAGTGCTCCATAGGTTTTAGATCTGGAATATGAGGTGGAAAGCCATGACAACGAGATCACCAGAATGAGTTTGCTTCTAAAAGATTTCTGGCACATAGAAGATCTGCTTGTGCTTAGGGTGATTATCATGTAGTTAGACGTGCGATCATCTTTGTGCCAGATGAAATTCCATGTCCTTGAAGAATTGGATGATACTTTTCTTTAATTAGGATCCTATTAAATCTTTCAATATTGCCAAACCGAGCATGACCAAAGCAGCTAAAAGTTTGCTTGAGTAGGATTTAGTTTCTTCGAACCTCTCCAAGGTTAGTTGCATACCACCTTTTTAATTTCACTTTTTCTGCGATCTTACGAGGAAAGAATCCTTCAATACTTAATGCAACTATTTGTCTTTGTGCACCATCACTATGCCCTTTCTCCCACCCATCTTGGGCAGTGTAAAGGAATGAGAACTTTATTTTGTTATAATTTAGATCATTAGGACCAAAACAGTGTGCAATTAATATAGTTTACAGTACTGAAACACTAGCACGCATGTCTTTACTCGAATACGCTGCCAGGATTTAATACTGGAATGCTACAACGACTGGACTCAAACTTTTGCCTCCTACTGTATATTTCCATCATGCGGTAAATTCGTGCACCAGCACGTTTATATCCAGCTGTGAATTTCGCGGAACAAGGACGCATCAAGAGCGAAGCAGGACGTTAACTCGCTGATAATATATTAATCATATACGCCTGGATTTTCGCGCAAAGTTTTTCAACATGGCAATGTCAAGAAGTACCGCTGTTGGCTCGATAGTCACTGGTTGTATATTGCTGGGTTTTGCTCTCATCACTGTGATCTGTGGCGCAATTTTAGCGAGCAAGTTGTCTGGCCCTGTAGCCGCCTCAGCCGGTCTGTGGTCTGTTTATGTAAGTATTTGACAACCGCATACAGTTAACGCACAAGAACGAATTTGTTCACCAAATAGTGTCAGGATGACAAGATCTGTCTGGAAGTACGTGTTGACGCGAAAACCTTAAAGCTACGATGATTAATTAATTCCTATACAGAATACAGCGTGGAATTTCATTAAATAACCATCAGCCAGTGTATAGAAAAAATAAGCGTTTTCTCGAGCGAAAGTTATTCAAACGTCACTCTTTTCTTTGAAATTTTTAGATTGTCATTGTATTTAATAAAACAACACAACTAAGACGAATTAAGCTTTTCTTGGCGTGTTCAGACAGATATGTTAAAATATGGACATTGATTGAGCCAAACACATTCCATTGATTCGAAAAAATTCAAACAACGCGTTGCGTATATAGTTTCAATTCTTATTATTTTAAACAGGGATGTATATAATTATAGGAACGGAGGTAGGGGTCACAAATGGCACGTCCCCACAAAAATTTTTCATGGGACCAAAAGTGCCCCTTTTGCGATGAAAAATGCCTTTCTGGAGAAGCTAATGTAGCTGTGAAGACTATTTTAAAATCGAAGGTGCCCTTTTTGTTTCTTACGTATTA